GCTCTTGGACTCTTGCTCCTTTCTTCTGCCACAGACAGACTAACGGGGCTACCCATCCTAAATAAATCCTAATACACAGGGGTAATTTCATAGAAAAAGAGCTGCAGGAGCTCATTAGCATACCTAATAGGCTATTAGCATAATAGCTCATTAGCATATGCCACGCCCCCTGACATCACCGGAAGTTATGTCAGAAGGGGAAACAAAAGGGGGGGCAATCTTCAAAAGCCTCCCCTTCCCTCCCCCAGCCAACCTGCCAAGGCGGGCTGGGCGGGGGGAGCGAAGAGAGAAGGGGTTTAAAGTCTAAACCTCTTCTCTTTAGAGTTGTGCTGCCTGCAGCGGCTGCACAATCTTTCCATTGTATTCTATGGGGCCATAGAATACAATGGAAGGATCGCACCACAGGAGTGCAGGGGAGGGGCGGGGAGCTGGGGGCGGGGCTCGCCGCCACTGCCATTTATGCCCACTCCTGGGCTGCCGGAGCAGTGCTCCGGTGCGCTCCGGCCTCAAATGACCCCTGCTAATACATCTCAGGAAGAAGGAAATGCAGTTGACCAGGGTGCTTCTTCCCTCCCCTCTGCAGGTGGAACTCATAGTAGGGCCCTCGGAAGAAGTCATCCCCCAGCTGAAAGAGAAGCACGGGCTGCTGCAGGCGGACTTGGTCTTCATGGACCACTGGAAGCGCTGCTACCTGCGGGACCTGCAGCTGCTGGAGGCCCACGACCTCCTGCCCGAGGGGGCCACGATCCTGGCCGACAACGTCATCTTCCCCGGGGCTCCCCAGTTCCTCCAGTACGTCAAGGCCTGCGGCAAGTACCAGTGGAAGCTGCACCGGACCAGCCTGCAGTACTTCCGGGCCATCCGCGACGGCATGGCCCAGCTCACCTACACGGGCCTCAAACGATGAGCGACTGATCCGAGGGAGACGGGTGGGCCCCCGGTAGACTGAAGAGCACCCCCCCAAGGAACAACGGGGCCCCCTGATTGTTATTTACTTCTTTGCCACATTTCTACCCTCCCTTTCTGTCCTCATCAGGGCCACTGAGGTGCCTAGGAGATTAAAAAAAATAAAATCTACGTCACAGAAACCATGTATTAAAAATCATTACAAGTAAACAAAAACACTGCGGCCAGGCAGCCCGGAAAAATCTACAACAACTAATAAAACAAAAAGATGTCCTTAAAACAATTAAAGCTGAAGTTAAGATACCCCTAGGAAAACGTTTGAGAGGTAGAGTGGGAAGGAGGAATCACTGAGGGAACGCCAAAGGGAACAGAAAGGTCTCCTCCCACTAGTGGAAGATGGCAACACAAGGTGACAAATGAGTCTCCTTCAGGAGACATTCCAGAGTAAGAGCCAGTGTGGTGTAGTGGTTAGGGGCACAGAGTCTAATCTGGGAGAACCGGGTTTGATCCGCCACTCCTCCGCTTGCACCTGCTGGATGACTTCGGGCAAGCCACAGCTCTCTCAGAGCTGTTCTCTCGAGGGCAGTCCTAGAAAGAGCTCTCACAGCCCCCACCTACCTCACAGGGTGTTTGTTGTGGGGAGGGGAAAGGAAACCAGTGTGTAAGCCACTCTGAGACTCCGAGTGAAGGGCGCGGTATAAATCCAAACTCTTCTTCTTTTGGCGCCACGATGGAAAAGGCTGTCCCCAGTTGCCACCCACCTAATCTCAGAAGGTTTGGGCACTCCAAGCAGGGCTTCTGAAGGTGACCATAATGGTCAGGCTGGGTCATGAGGGAGTGGGCAGTCCTTCGGGTATGTCGCTCCCGAACCATGTAAGGCTCTGAAAGTCAACTCCAGAACCTTGACTGGTGCCCAGCAGACAGCCAGTGTAGACGGGCTGCAACCGATGCTCCCTCTAAGCTGT